ATATTTTCATAATAATTTTAAAATGAATTTAAAAATTACATAAATAATTTAATTTTAGTATTAAATTTTAATTATTATTTTATAATTTATTAATGGATTGATTATTAGTCAGTGTATTGCTTGAAATGTGTAAAATGTTTTGCGGTGCCCAAAATGGCCGTTTAATAATTTCAAATATATTTTGAATGGAAGTGGTAAGTAACAGATACTGCATTTTTATTCATAAAAAAATAAAAGGACTTAAAATGATAAACACACAATATCACGAATTTACATTTAACTTTTACTTAACGTCTAAGCACAAAAGTAACACTTAGGGTGTATACCCACAAAAAGTCTCGCTTGCGGTCTTTGCTGGCCAGCAGAAATGGCAGGAAGATAACGTTAAATAATTCAGAGAGATATGTGGTCTTCCGATATATGAAAACAAATTAATATAATTGATCTCATTATGCAAATCTGACAAAATAGTATATTCCGCTTTTTTGCTAACTGTAAATTTAAGTCCTACGAAGAAGTGTATAATTACAGTTATTTTCAACGACACAATTCTGTTATTTTATTTTCTTAAAGATTTCGAAAAGCTTCACTGGGTTATATTCTTCATAACATCTGCATGAAGTGCATTAACCATGGAAAACAACAGAGTTTGTCAGCTTTGGTGCATTTAATGAATGTTATAATCTTTCTTTTCATATCTTTTAGGCTTTAGAGATAGTTAGATATGTTCAGCAAGAAATTTCAAATATTCTAAAGAACAATGATTGGTTGGACGAGAAAACTAAAATGCATGCCATAGACAAGGTTTGTTGCATTCTCTGTTTCTCCAATATTTTTATAAATCATAAATGAAAAAAAGATGAGAGCATTTTTATTCCTTAATACCGTCTATTAGCATTCACATTGAGCTTTGGTAGCGTTTCTATTCCATTTTAAATATGAAGATGAAAAATGGACATAGTATATGTTTTAAATTTGTGATACAGTGAAATTACTGTCCGATGATTCCATATACTTTTATATACATTTGCTTTTAAATTCATAACTCTTTAATTAATTTACTTTAGCTACTTAATTTTAAAATTTTAATTATTCAACGTATAAACATAATAAGTGAATCGGAATACCCTCTCATCTCACCTAATCATATGAAATAAGTAAGCAAGTCTTCAGCCAGCTTTAAAGCAATCATACCACAGAAATGGACCTTATAAGAAATAGACCAACCCAAATGGATTTTTTCCCTCTTGTAACGCTTTCCCGGTTTGACCACATCCGGAGGAGCAGGGAAGACTTGCAGAAACTTAACAATGGTTGGTTATTGCAGCATGTATAACTGTCAAGAAAAAGTAGGTTGTAGCGCCTCATTTCACAAATTAGAATTTTTAGATGTTTTTATTTTTGAAACTGAGATTGATTTATACAAATTTAGCCTGTTTATTTAGCATGATTAACGTTCAAAATAATTATAAAGTTGTGTCATGCTTTCAGGCCTGGGTACGTTTATAGCTTTTCCTATGCAGTAAGGAAATTTTGTAACTACTTCTTTTAGAAAACAATATTTTAAATCTATCATAAAATTTAGTGTTTAATGTGTGGAGGTACTTATCAATCTATTCTACCTTCAAAGTAATGCAGTAGTTTGTTCTTAATATAGAAATGTGCGTCTCTAATGGTGCGTAAGATTTTAATTTGTACAACTTGTATTTTGTGCTGGTCATTGCTCTTTGCCGTAGCCCAAACTGGCGAGGCGTGGAAAATGACGAAAATGGAAAGGTAAATTTGTCGCTTTTGCGTAAATCCAATTTAGAACGCCTACCAAGTAGAAGATTCAGTTGCTACGGAGGTACTGAATAGAACAGCAACTGAATAGAAGATTCAGTTGCTGTGCAACACCTTTAGTTTTGTTAGCTACATATTTGACAGGGGTGTTCCACGTGAGCCTTTTATTGAGATAAACGCCTAGATATTTGGCCTTGTTAACTATGGATACCCACTGGCCTAAAAGGTACAGTGGCGGAATAACAACTTTTAATTTCTTCCAGAGTACGATAAGCAGTTGAGACTTATCAGCATTAATAGAAATCCTTCAATTGAGCACCATTTCTTCAATATCAAGTACAATATCTTGCGATATACTAATGGCTATGTTAGGATTTATTGATTTAACTGCTACCTCCGTATTATCCGCATAGCGGGCGAGTAGCGTGTTCCTATTTAATTTGTCCCTTGGAAAATCCGCCGCATAGAATAAGTAAAGAATTGGCCCCAAACAGGACCCCTTCTGAGATCATCTTGTAGCCCGAATGATTCTGTCTGCAGCTCACAGTAAAGAATCTGCTTGTAATGTAAGAATGTGTCAGTAAGATAAGCTCTCTGGGAATATTAAACTTGATTAATTTGTAGATTAACCCTCATGCCAGACGCGGTCAAATGCTTGGCCACGTCTAGCATGAGCAGTGCTGTGCAGCTTTATGATGGAGTGCGGATCCTATGAACTCATAAGTGTAATTAGTTTTTTTGCAGTAGACAGGTCGCTCCAGTCCGAGGGCTTGATAACGGCATCTCAGAACTATGCATAACACGCATCCGCAATACCTTCTCTATTTACAGCCATGCTGGAGAATTCGCCACTTTCCGGAGGCACAAAATAACAGAAGTTGCCCTCTTCCTAAAGGGAAATAAAGATCCAAACGAGGCTGCTTGTTATAGGCCTATCTGCCTGCTCCCAGCCATGGGAAAAATCCTCCAAAGAATAATACTTCAAAGACTGAATTTTTACATTTATGCTAATAAAGTCATAAATACTAGGCAGTATGGCTTTGTAGCAGGAAAGTCAGTGGATCACACACTGAACCACCTAAGGGACACGGTACTTAGAAACAAGCAGAATAAACTGCATACTGTTGTCATCAGTATAGACATTCAAGGTGCCTTCGATTCGTTGTGGTGGCATGATGTTTTGAAATGACTCAAAGATATCACTTGTTCCCAAATTTTATTTGATTTGATCTACAGCTACCTGAGTGAAAGACGAATTCAAGCTACAACGGACGGAGTCGTCCACATGCAAAAGGTGACGAAAGGCTGCCCGCTGGGCTCCTGCCTAGGTTCACTTCTGTGGAACCTGGTAGCAGACACCGAGCCCAATCTGTTTGGTGATGATGAAACATCTGGAATAATAGCGTATACTGGCGACTTCTTGCTAATTTCAAACGGTCACAGCCATAACAGTTACGAGGTAAATTCCCAAAATGCGTTAGACAAACCAGTCTGCTGGGCCAGTGAACATAAGCTCACAATTTCAAGAGCAAAAACAAAAGGAATGCTAATTAGTCCAGAAAAAAGGCACGAGCGTACCCCGTGCGTAAACCTTCATGGCAGACACATACAATTCGTGAGACATTTTCGCTGCTTGGGTGTGATTATAGACGACAGATTCTCCTGGCTTCCTCACATCAAGGATCTTAAAGAAAGGCTGCATAAATTGTCTAATACAATGCGGAGAACAGCTATTGCTAACTGGTTGTGTCTTCACAGATGCTCAAAAATGGTATGTCACAGTCGCTGAAAACGCATAGCCTCTTCATGGCGTTTCCATATGGGGCGTCAATGTCATGATTAACATGCAACATGCATTGACTCCCGCAAAGAAATTTCTTCTGGCCAACTGCAGAGGATTCCGTACCTCTCCTACAACTGCATTAAATGTATTGGCTAGGCTTCCGCCCCTGCACTGATAGTACAGAGCGAGAGTGTTGGGTGAGAGTTGTCAGACTAAAACAAGACGTTTACTATTTGGAGTATGAATTATGTATCCTCGGACTACGAGAATCACGTTCCCACTCTCCTGCACCCTGCAGACTTCCGATAGAAAAACTGTAATTCCAAGTCATTACCAATTCTAGCCGTATATACTGATGGATCCAAAGGAGAACACGGAACTGGCAGTGCCTGGTGTGCAATGGAGGATGACCACATAATCCATTCCTGGGCTAAGAAGCTTTATCCCAGTAACTTGGATTTTCAGGCGGAACTTACAGCCCTAAAAGCAGCTCTGGGCTTTACTGCTAACAAGAGCAAGTAAAAAGTAATTTACACAGACTCAATGTAAAACTTGCAGGCCATCCAGGGCGGCCACAGTAGACATCCCATTGTCAGAGACATACAAAAACTATTAATTTAGATTCCTGCAAGTCTGAGACCCCAGCTACAATGGGTCCCTCCCATACGGGGATTAAAGGAAATGAAGCAGCGGATATGATTGCGAAAGGCGCAGCCAGTGAACCCCACGTGAGTAGCATTGGTGTGCCCCTTCCGCATTCGCATCTGAAAACTACTCTTAAATGTGAACTAATGAAGCAGTGGCAAAACTACTTGGAGACAAGCACCACCGGACTGTATGATTTCCAACCAGAAGTTAACCACAATTTAAATAGGAGTTCTTCGCACCTCACACAGTATCTAACAGGCTATGGCCCATATATGTCCTATCTTCCCAGATTTCGCCTAAGAGACAGTGACCAATGTATTTGTGGCAGTACTGGTGACCCAGATCACTGTCTGTTTGACTGCTCGCCCACAGGGAATTCACATTTAAAAAGACCAATTGCAATCAATACGCCAGCATAGTTCAGGAACACAATTAAGAATAAATATGCTCTCAGCCGCATTGGAGACTGCACTAGCATTGCTAAAAGCATTGCTGACAACCTGGAGTGACTTCTTGCCTTGGACACGGTGCCGTCAGCAGCCTGTTCTGTACCTATATTAATTTACTTAATGTCTTGTGTTTTTTGTTTTCGCTGTTTTTAATTATATTTAATATTATCCAGAACTCATTTAATGTATTCCACAATTTGTAATGTATTTGGTCATCTTTACGGCTGTACCTGATTTTATAGCACATCCTTAATATAACTGTATGCTTAACATGTACGATAATAGTGAAAAGTGCTCCGCTTAGTCTCAGCAGTCCCCACGATGCACCTTCTTTCCATGTTCTGGTCCTTACTTCAATGTTCCTCGTTTCGTGGCCAATCCCCGGAGGATACAGTACTAAGCTCTTTATTTATGTTTATTCATGTATTTATTTTTAATTCCATCGACGGAATCCAACAGGCTGAAAAGCACCTAACCCAGTGGGCCAGCTGTTCCGTTGATGGTGAAAAGAAAGAAAGTAGACAGGTCGCTCCTAACGCCATACTGTTTGTTCATCAGGTAGGAATTGCAAGTAGGACTGAAATTTTTGTAAGATAATTCTTTCAAATATCTTGGCAAGATTGTATAAAAGACTAATCGGCCGGTGATTTATGAACTTGGTGGTTCTGAAGGCCCTGGGAAAGGTCACTTATTGGCCGGCCTCGGGGTCTGTTATGTTCTGAGCGGTGTGGAACCGTAGCCGGAAGGTTAGTTCCCCTCGGTTTGCTGTGTAACGGCCCACTGCGACGGGCTCGCCCAACTGGCAGGAGCAACTGACAACCAGTGCTGCCTGGTGTCATATCCAGGTGGTGTGCTGCTCTCCTGGAAGGGTAATAGTGGATGTTGAACCTCCACGAAGTGCCCAAAGGAGGAGTAGACCCATAGTGTGATTTAGTTCACGGCGCGGGGAAGTCAAGAACCTTGTTGTTGTTGTTGCGGCTCTCGCCATATCATTGCCTTTCAGGAATTGTTCTGATGTTAAATAGAAACTGATCCTTAAAGAGAACGTGGCCCCACTGGTATCCAACTGCGATGCCTCACGGGCCTAATTTATCAGAGCTCTGATATGTGATGGAGAAAGGAAGAACTCCATAGGTCCTCATACGTTCTACACGTCGCGACTGGTTATGGACCGACTTACAGCAGCAGAGAGATGCGACGTCAGCTGTCGTGACGTTAGTGATCTACAACGTCTGCGCACAGCAAGAGGAAACGATCATCTGCCGTTATTGTAATTCTCCAGGGTCAAGACTCACGTTTTCTACACTCGTTTTGATAAATTTAATAACATTTCTATAGCCTGTTATTGGCAACGCAAGGCACATTCCTCTTTCTCGCAACAGCGAATTATCTTGCACCAGCTTGCGATAACCCCCGACAGCCCTCCAACATATTTCATCGGGCAACTGATGTCTTCGGCTCATGGCTATCTCGAATTACACGAAACGTTGCTTGTAAATTGGCGCATAGGCCCATCAGGTCCCTGTTTAAGACGTTGTTGTGTAACTACAGCATTGCTAATTCTGGTTGCTTATTTGCAGTTGGCGATGTAACCTCATATGTAAATTATACATTTAAATTCCCGTTTTATATAACCGTACCTTGCAGCCCAGACGGTATAGTGGTTAGTGACTCTCACTGCCGTAGCGATAAGCCCGAGTTTGAATCCTAGAGAGAGCATGGTTGTAACTGTCCGTCCCTTCATAGGAAGCAACGATGGCCACCTATTAGATGCTCACTTTGGCCACCAATTCCGACCCTGATAGTGGCGCAAGGCCCACTATAAGCTACCCGACCATTGTTAAAAGGAAAAAAAACATTCGTACCTTTCGTTTTAGCGGTTGTTGCTTATTTTTTAGCAATTTTAGCATTAAAACATGGAATTATGAAAAGGATGGACATCGTTTTGAGCAATTTCTTATAACTTGATGGTCTTGAAAACAAAACTAATGCTTAATCTCTTGAAGTATTAAATCAATAATGATTATTAACAGAACACTTTTTCTTCATTGTTAAATTTTGAAGTGGTGGCCGAAATAAATTCGAAACTTATCAGAGTTGGAAACAATTATCTTTTTATTTTTCCCGCCACTAACGTTTTCTCTTATCGCTATACCGATATATATATATGTGTGTGTGTGTGTGTGTGTGGGTAAGATTAAAAAATATGGAAATAAAAGTTATAATTTAAACTAATAACAATAGCCTCTTAATTCCCTTTCTCTGTTGTAAAAATAATAATGCCTTTTTCTGGTCTGCTTCCTTTCTGGATCAGTCCAGTTCGTATGACTTGTGTAAGGCTGATGACGTAACAATACGTAATTCGGAACTTGAACATTTCGAGAACTGAAATTTTCTTTTAATAAGCAACTTAAACAAAAACCTTCGCTTGTTCAGCTTCCGTGTTGAATAACTGCGCACTTTTGCTTCCCGTTAAGACGCTAGTTCGCTCTTTTAGCCTCTGCCAGTAATTTTCCATTGTTTTAGAAATATAATCTGCATAAATTTGTGGCAGGCATTTGTGTGGGGCACACCCACAATGATGATATAAAATGAAAAAGAATATGTATCCTCAGAATTCATTATCCAGATATTATGCGTGGAATTTACGGCTACGCTTATCTTCGAATGTCATTTTTCTAGCCACGTAGTAAAGACTCTCCAAGCTATAACAGAAAGAACCGTTGCAGCTTTCTTCAAGTTCCCTATTTTCTCCAAGTTTTCCTATTACTAATAAATTATTGATGTATTACTTAGCAGCTTTAGCGCAAGATTTGGGTATTTTAAATGTGTGTGTGTGTGTGTAAGATAAAAAATAAGAAACTTAAAATTGCTAACTTTAATTTCTCTACGTCCCATTCCTGTTTTTAAAATACTAATATATCAATCTGACGTGCGTCATCTGAAAATTAATCCATTCCGTGTTTCTGTAATTATGTTTCAATGCGATAAATTCACAGCCAATCAGATTAAAGATATTTTTGTCTATAAATACCACTGCGACTATTATATTTTTAAATTTTGTACCTCTTTTTTTAGCGTTTGTTGCTTATTTTTGTAATACTTTAAGTATCAAAATAGGGAACAATGAAGTGGATGGACATCGCTTTGATGTGGTTTACTGAATGCAAGTTCGTGTGACTTGATGATCTTAAATACAACTCTAATTCTTGATCTCTTGAAACTTTAAATCAATATTTATTCACAAAACATTTTTCTTCTTTCCTACTTACTGAAAAGGTGACCGAAATGAATTCTAAATATGTCACAGTTAGAAACACTCACCTTTCATGTCAACTACCTGGATTTTCGTTCAGTACTTACTTAGATGGCCCCAGACGCGTAACGACTTGCTGATACAGAGACGAAGCGCCTACTCTCTTCGTTTCGGTATCCATGACCTCCTATGAATGACATATTTCATATACCATTCAATCTAAGGCTCAGTAAGGAACTCTGTAATTACTCTGGGAAGTATTTCTTAGGCAGCAGCGCCCCAGAATAACACAGTACAGCATTATAGTACCGAAACTGATTTAACTCTGATCTGTAGTAGTAATTCCACATTGTATTTAACTGGACGTTAGAACTTTTGGACTTGCAGATCAATAGGCATATTTATTTGATTTTTGTAGGTACTTTATCGATTTCCACCGGGGACAAATTTGTATTTTGATAATTCGCTGCATAGTATTTGAGGATAACGTAGTTGTTAAAAAAATGTGGGATCTTTATGTATATTGTCATTACTTGGAGAGGCTATAACACTAGACACAAGGATAACATTATCAGAAAGACATGGTTGAATTCTGCATAATTTAATTGTTGCATAAAGCTCTTCCACAGACGTACAGTATTGAAAAACCGTTCACAAACGTTTCGATAAATGTACAAAGAACATTCAGCGTAACCTATGATCTGGTATGGAGTTTTAGTCGCAGGCAACTGGCAGTTACCGCTGAAACTGCCGAAACTGTTTCTGCAATTATTCAGCAAATTCCAAGGAAATCAGTCTGAAGAATTGCAGCAGAGACTGGTTTGAAGCGTTCCAGAACGCAGAAAATACTGAGAAGACATGTTTCCACTCAAAACTCAAAGTCATCAGGCCCGTAGCGTACAGCGCCATCTGCTGGCAGCTTAACAACTTACAGCTTTTACAATAAATATACCGCTTGTTGTATTACTCTATCAACCTTTGTTTTCGAGATTTTTAGTTTTGCAACCAGGAATTCCTTACACCCTATACATGTAACACTTAATGTAAAAATAGAATTAAAAAGCAACAGATGCCGTTAAATTAGATATCCTTAATTGTTGAATTACAATGAGAAAGGGTAAGTCAGCCTTTTCCAAGTAATCAACAATAATTATTTTAACTAAAATTTTAGTTTAGGAATATTTATGTAACTGAAAATAACTTACGAACCTAGTGAAAGCTATCGTAATTATTGTTACAATAGTTTTCGTTAGGTTAGGAAACATTTCGTTTCGTTAGTAGTTTTCCAATGACAATAGTTTTTACACTACGGTTTCCCTAGAGGTAGAATATCTCTAGTTAGTAAATATATATTGATTCTGGATCATTATGTTTTTCTTCTGTAAAATAACCGTTATTAACGCCAAACTGATTGCAGTAATACCTAGCAAATTTCCATACTATGGACATAGTCATATATGTAGTAATGCCAATGAGATTTTGTGGAATTTTCCCGTCATCAATTAAGAAAGATTTTCTCTTGAAAACGCAAATACTTATTTTTATTACGAACTCTAGGTGAATTTCATGGAACTAGGAATTGGATTTCCAGACGAGCTGCTAAATGACTCCTACGTCTCTGAACTGTATGAAAATGTAAGGATCTTCATGTTTTTTAACGAGTTTTCTAAAATTTATTTAATATCTAATACTTTAAGATAATCTGAAAACCTAGTAATTATTTAAGTATTTTTTCAGATAACGTTCAGTAACGAAAGCCATTTTGACAACGCTTTGAAAATTATTGAAGCTGCTACAAGATCAGACATACTCTGTAGATTGGTTATCTGTGAAAGGTGTGAAGTACGTAACATATGAACTATCAAAATTAAGTGATTAGTTTCATTTTTTATATTTCCGTTAAAAAAAAATTGGAAAATATTTTGAGAAAAATTCTTAAGCTCTAAAAGTCTGAAATAATTTAGCAGTAATCTCGTAATTACTAACGTTTAGAAAAACAGAAAGTAATTTGCGTTTACTGTATAGCAGAATCTTGTTAAAATCGTTTCAAATTCTGAATATCTTAACTATTTTAAACATTACAACGTTCCGATTGTCTTCTTGTTTACATATACGTTTTACTGAAATGATATAAGAAGTGATGGTCTTACCTTGGAACTCCTGCCGCTGTGAATCTTGGATCATGAATCGTCAGTTTCATTTTTAATTCCAACTACTAAAGAGTTGTTACTAATATCTCAGGTAGGCCATTGGCCGCCCGTAAATTTTTTACTTAAATCAAGGGTGCATGAGCACCGCACCCGAAGGCGAAAATGGTCTAAGTGGCAAGTCATCAGGGAAGGCAGTAAGTTGAGCTAAGTCCAAAATCATCTTTTATGCAGATTAAACTTGAATTAAGTTCATGCAGAAATACTTCTTGAGTAGGTGCTAGGAGCAATGCATGAGTTGACTAACTGAGTTCCTAACTAAGCAGCAGATACGAGTGAGAAATTACAAATCACGTGACTGAGCGTCGCAATATCATTGGTTTGAATTTGCCATTGCATAAGATCACATTTCTGCTGCTGTGTTACCGGTACGTCTGACTAGTATTCGCAAGATTTATTATTCGAATCCTGGCTAGGGTATATGAAATTACTCAAGCTCCTTGTTTCAAACATTTCAGATTGCTTAATAGTGGGATTCGTCTAATATTTGTTTGACGGTAATTCTTTATCATTTGGATTTAATTTATTGTATCTCATTCTGTCGCGCTAAGCGTCATTTAAATAAGCGAGAATATGAGCTGCTTCCGCCTTGCCTTATGGGTTCTTTTGCTGCATAACTCGTAGCACATGCGGCCAGCACTTGGAAAATCAATGATTTGAGCCCGGTCTGATGTTCTCATGATTCTTGCCCCAAAAATTCTAAATTGTTTTGCAAAGAATGTACGTTCTCATTTATTACAACCAAATTATTAAATCTGGAATCAGTTTAACTTTAGACCAATTTTACTATGTTTTAAACATTATATTGGTATCGAAAATCGATTAAATCACATGCATATCTCTATTTAGCTAGCTCAGCACTTTGTATTTTATTTATGAAAAAGCAGAAGAATGGATAGCAAGAGCTCCACTGCAGACTTAAAGCAATAACGAAGTAAAATTCAAACATAAAAATCAGTATTGTTTAATTTACAGCAAAAATAGTCAACTAGACTGAAATGAGTGCATTCTGTCAGGTATCTTTGGGACTTGAATTTTACTGTATGATACTCTACAGCTTTTTTGAGGTTTGCGCTGATTACTCTTCGAAACGGTATCCATCATTCATTATTGAACGGATTTAAAGCGAATTTTTTTTATTTTAGAAGCAGCATAGAAAAAGAAAAATTCAGATATCTTCATGAATTTAGATATTGTCAAAATACTTAAACGAAGAGATAATTTATACTTTTCTTCAAATATGTGTGAAGTATATATTTTGGTTACAAATAAATGGATGATTTCTAAACAAATTAAAGTAACTTAGTAAATGCGTTATTACATTTCATGCTAAATAGTTGCCATTAAATGTTATCGAAGTATTTCAGTGAGAAAATTTATAGTTCCCTGCAAACATGTTTGATGTACTTGTTTTGATAAATAACGTAGATGATTTCTAAACAAATTAAAGTAACTTAGTTAAATATATTATTACTTTTCATTCTCAGTTCCTGCCATTTTTGTTGGACGTATAATACTTGGTAGTGAACGAGACGTACGTTATTGTGATTCATTTATCTGTCGTCTCTGCAAAATTTCTGAATTTATTGTTTATATTCTCTTTTTACTTCCTTGTACGAAGTAAAAAGGAAGTATTATGGGGAAGGATTGATGATAAGCATAACTATAACTCATGAAGATAAACTAGGATTTATTTATTTACATTAGAATGAAAAGAAAAGTAAAAAGAATAATCGTCAAATCATTTTGGACACGTCTGCCCTCACTATCGTTCACGTCTCATCTCATCTGACCACACCCTAATCCAGATGGCGCTCTTACATAATCTTAGTTACAGTTACAGTTCCCACATAATTCGGCCATCCGACATAGTCTTCTGCCCTCAGATGACAAGAGCAAACAGTGAAATTTAACATATGAAATAAGGTAAAAAGAAAAAATAATAATACTATTAAACTATAAATGAAAATACTAAATTAATACAGATAAATGGAAATACTAAATTAAAGAGATAAATGAAAATAATATTCTATCTGGATATTCTAATAACAGCACCTAGAAAAATCAAAGAAAAGATGGATAGGATTTAAAGTCCAAAAGTGTAGAGCAGTTCATATGAGTCTGTTCATAAAACACTAAAGTTCAGGTAATATGTTCTGATGAAGTCCGAGGTTTCATAAATTCGGCGCAAGTACTTGTGTTCATAGGTCCATCGAAGAAACCACATTTTTCAACATCATAAGTGTCATTTGGTTTGACTTTTACGATTTTATAGGGTCCGAGAAACTTGGGTTTCAGTTTAAGACTAGGTCCATATTGTGTACGCTTGATTGCTACTAGATCATGAAGCTGGAACTTACGGGATGGTTTACGTCGCAGATTGTAAGTTTTACGATTTTCAGCCTGGACTTTCAAAATCTGTTGTTTCGCTTCCTTGCGAAGATCCTAGCGAGCGTTGACGAAATCTGACTAAATCTCTGCATTTAACAGCTCTGTAATTTTATCATGATTAGCAGATTTCATTTTAATTCCAAACATGAGTTCGAACGGGGTTGTATTGATACTCCGTTGGTATGTTGAGTTGATCACTTGCTGAACTTCACCGACGTGTATATACCATTTTGACGGATTTTGAATCGATAATTTGGAAAGAACAGAAATTATGGCAGAATTCAATCTTTCAATTTGTCCATTGGCACGAGGAAGTCCTGTAGTAATTAGAATGTGCTGTATATTGTTGGTTTGAACAATAATCTCGAAAATCTTTTGAAGTAAATGCTGAGCCTTTATCTGAAATTATACGCGAAGGATTTCCAAAGACAAATTTTTGATATTCCAATTTAGATATTACTTCGGCGCTATCAGTAGATTTTGTCGGGTAAAGCCATACAAACTTTGTGAAAGAGTCAATAACAGCAAATATATACTTGTAACTTTTATGGGTACTCTGCGTTGTAAAACATTTTATAGCCTCGAAATTTCACAACAAATTAATAAAAATAGAGAGCAAAATGATTTTTCTTACCTTGTATCCAGCGCATCATCAAGCGAGATCATACCTAACTAACTTGTAATCCAAAATAGGTGTAGACGGAAATTGTAAGATCACAAAACACATTTTTTATTAATACATGAAAAATAGGTAAAAATTTGTTAGTATTCCAAATACATATTGAAAAAGAAGTTATAGAGAATGTCATATGACTGTCCTTTCCTGAAGGAGTGAGAAAAGTAAGTATAAAGAATAAGTGTGTTGCACAATTAGCTCTTTTTCAGGGTTTCCAGTTCATACAGTTTACCGTGCTATTGGCGACAGTCCATCACTATGTGCATACCAACACTCTGGAGTGGTCCTAAATGATCAATGTGATAAATGTGAAGTGGTACATCTTGTTTGGGTATAGAATGCAAAATACCTTCTTGTTTACCACATTTACGATTAATTAGTATGCAAGGAACACAATTAGCAATATAGCTGTCAATTTTATCTTTAAGTTTAGGTATATAAAATTCTTGTTTGATGAGTTCTTTAGTTCATTTAGAAGCGAAATGTCCACGAAGATGTGCATCCTTAATTATGTCACACTGCATTGATTCTGGAATAAGAAGTAATTCCTTATCGTCTGGAAATTTATAAGATATATCAGCTTTAACACAATAATCATCATAAGGTTTAACTTTAAGACTTCTCTGATAGCTCGGATGTGATCATCTTGCTCTTGAGCGTTTCGTATTTTCAAAATGAGGCTATCCTGAGTGATGACCATAACAGGGGATCTACTTAATGCATCAACATGCGTCATTCGTGTTCCAGTTCTGTGTTCTATTTTGTAGTCGAAATCTTCTAACATCAATGCCCAACGTACTATTCATGTATTTAAGTCTTTCTTGTTCATTCGTCCATTTTGGAATGCATTACAGTCAGTAATAATTTTGAAGTGTTTTCCTAAACAGATAAACTTCTAAATTTTTTCAAAGCTTGAATTACAAGCTAATACCTTCAAGTTAATAACTGGTAAATTTCTTTTCTGCGTATCAGATGTCTTTTTGCTCATGTTAATAAACAGGATGTAGGCAATAATCAAGCATAGACTTTTGCATGAGAATACAACCATAACCATGGATACTGGCATCAGTGTGTATTTCAGTATCGCTGCTCTGATTATAGATGCTAAGTATGGGCTTTTCACATAAATGTATTTTTAAAAGATAGAAAGGTTTCTCTTCGTTGTCACCAAAGTGGAAGTCGTTACTTTTTTTCAAGGGGATCAGTTAATTGGTTGAAGCAATTATGGAAAAATTTGAGAATAAATTTACGGAAATATCCGGCAAGACCAAGGAAAACTTTGTAAGTCTTTGTGACTTTTAGGTTTCAGGATAATTAATAACAGCGGCTGTTTTAAGAAGGAGATGGGAACAGTTGACCATTTTCGATGACATGACCAAGGAATTCAATTCTAGACTTAAAAATTTAGAATTGTTCAAAATTAATTTCGAGTCCATAAGAGATGCAACTGAGAAAACGGATTCAAATGCTTGAATCCCTTCATCTTCATCTTTAGCAGGAAGTTATGATATCATCTAGATACAGTAAAACATGACCCTTGCAAGATTAAATCCTTGAAAACGGAATTTAC